CTCCGTCAGACCATGTCCTCAGAAAATGTCTAAAATCTGCCCTGTGCCCTATTGACCTTTGACCTGTGACCTCCAATTTCGGCACAGTGATGGCTTTTCCTACCATGATGCTATACACGACTATCACGAGACTAGGTCGAGCCGTTTAGATTTGTGCCGCAATTCTGCATTTCCTCCCTATACCTTAAGTTAAGGAGGGAATGTTCCCCTTCTTTTACACCTCTTGACCTTTGACCTTTGACCCCCAGCTTCGACAGCCCAACTCGTTTTCGAATTACCCCCCACGTCCCGACTTTCGAATCCGTACGTCGAGCCGTTTAGATTTGTGCCCAACTGTTGACGGACGCACGGACGGACGGACGGACGATCATGCGATTCTACAAGCTGCGCCTGACTACGTCAGATGAGCTAAAAACATTGCTATATAACACTGTTAAACAAAGTTATTTTATTAACGATGTCAGAGATTTATGATCAGGCGCATACCTCTCTGAGAACCTCCTCAAAGTTGTTTGGCTGGCCAGTGATGCCACACTTTTCTGGTACCTGGTCCATGAGGTGACTGTGAGTTCTGCTACTGGTTGCTAGCAGAGTCACCATTTCCATCTTTGTGACATCTGACTCTGACATGCCTGGTATATACAAGGCAAGGTGTTACACAATAAATCACAAGTGTATACTATCATAGTTCTACGTCAGCGGTTGTAATACTGTACTGACTATATTATATACTTTGACAAAACAACTGTAATTTAAATACTGATTGTAATAATTTAAAACTATGTCAATGACAAGGTAAATTCTACAGGAAAACTCGGCATCTGTTTATATTTAATCTTGCTTTTTAGACTATCACCCTAAGTTCAATAGCTACAACATTTAGCGCTCTAATTAAACATTAACAAATCCAGTATTAAATCACACACGTGAATAGAATATGAACTACCCAGGTGCAACAACATCACACACAAAATATATGAATAGTAAATGAACTGCTGGGGCACAACAGAAGTATCACACATCATGGACATAGATATAAAATGAACTACTGAAGTAAAACACATTCACACACCATGTACGTGAATATAAAATTACCAATGTACAACAAATTCAAAAATCACATATGTGACCCGCTTCAGCAAAACCAGGATTAAGTAGTAAATTCTACAAATTGAGTTATGTGCATATCTGAATAAATCATTTAATTACCTTTAAAATGATATATAATATTTGGCTATATCTAAATAATTGACCGATCTACAGCAATTTGAAGATCGGAAATCGACTTATTCCGGAATATGCAGCTTTTGAGATAAAGCGTTCCGGGCAAGGGGGGCCCTTCAAAATTATTATTTTTTTTTTTTTTTTTTATTATTTGGGTTTTTTTTTTGGTTCCACCCGCCCCTTTTTACTTTTTTATTTTTTTTTTTTTTTTTTGTTTT